ACTTGCTTCACAGATGGAGGGAGCTTACCACGTCCTATGACAGATCTTACGAGACCGTCAAGATTGCGCTGGTGGGTAAGTATACGCATTTGAAAGATGCTTACACGTCTGTCATCAAGTCCTTGGAGCACTCTTCCATGAGATGTCGTCGTCGTCTTGAGATCATTTGGGTCGAAGCCACTGATTTGGAGCCAGAGGCCAGTGAGAGCGATAAGATCAAGTTTCACAAGGCATGGCACGACATGTGCTCTGCTGATGGTATTCTCGTTCCAGGTGGTTTCGGTCAACGTGGTACTGAAGGTATGATGAGCGCTGCTAAATGGGCCAGAGAGAACAACATCCCATACTTGGGTGTGTGTCTGGGATTCCAAGTGGCCTCCATCGAGTTTGTCAGATCTGTTGTCGGGATTGAGCATTCCAACTCTCAAGAGTTTGTCCCAGAGTTGACAGAGGACGAAGCCACTGTTGTGTACATGCCAGAGATCGACAAGGAGAAGCTGGGAGGCACCATGAGACTCGGTCTGCGTCCAACTGTTTTCCAGACCGACAAGTCTGTTCTGAAGAAGTTGTACGGTAACTTTGATCAGATCGAGGAGAGACACCGTCATAGATACGAGATCAATCCAAAGCTCATATCCACAATCGAAGCACATGGTTTGAAGTTTGTGGGTAGGGACGAGACTGGCCAGAGAATGGAGATCTTCGAGTTGGAGAACCACCCGTTCTTTGTGGGCACCCAGTACCATCCTGAGTACATGTCCAAGGTTCTGGACCCATCCAAGCCCTTCTTGGGCCTCGTTGCTGCGTCTGCCGGTATGCTGGATGAGATCGCTAATGGTGCACCAAGCGCTTCAAAGACCGACTTCTAACCAACCACAGTGGCCAATTGCAACAGATGCTCCACACCACGTTACAAGTGACCTAATTAACCACACACTTAATGAATTATTGTCCTTTTCTCTTTTGCCACTGTTCTTGCGAGCCTGGCAGATATAGTTGCCTGTTTTAACGAACAACCAGGCGGTTTGGAGGCCTGTGTAGCGCTTGCCTTATCTCCAAGACTGCGAGATGATTGGACACAGCAGAGTGCATCACTTGTGATGCGCTTATCAGTTCCCACCAGCTCTCATGAGATCTCATCAGCTCTCACCACCTCGCTGCTCATCCGTGGTGTCGTTGATGCTATGGCATGTGGCTCACAAACACCCGCACACCGCACACACCGCACACACCGCACACACCGCACACACCGCACACACCGCACACACCGCACATTCGCACTAATTACGCCAGCAGAACTGCACATTCATCACACAATCGACAACACCACAACCGAGCCCTTACCACATCGAGCAATTCTTCGGCGACTCCTCATCGCTCAACCGACACCTTAGCGCTTTCCAGCCCTTGTTCTTTGGGTTTGACAAGCGCCTTCCGCAGTGCGCATGCTATCCCATTTAGCCTGCATACAAAGCCACATTTTTCCACCACGCTTTGCAGCCAGAGATGGTGGTGGAAGCGAGCTCCAGGGCCCAGAGGGCTTCACAACCAGCTGGTGCTTGTGTTCCACTGACGAGCCATCTCGAGCTGAGCCACTGATAAGCGGACGTTTGCTGTTTTGTCGGCACCAGCAGCCCTTCGCCGTTGCCTTGGCCTTCCCGTTGCCCTGCCCTTGTAGAAATCGAAGCGTGCACGGTGTAATGCCGGGCTCAGTGGACAGATCTGTGCCTCCCACACCGCAGAGCCACACAGTCGCGCTGGCGTGTGCACGCCAGCCGGTGTGGCACACGGTGTGGTTTAAAGGCCCGCTACAGGTTGCGTTGGCGGGGGAGGGGCGTTGTACTGCCAGGCTCAGCTTGCCTGGAATGACAAAGACCTGCGGCCAATATGACACATTTTGGTGTTATTTGTATGTGTGGATCCTGTGGCTTATGAAACACCGCGAGGGCATGCGCTGTTGGCCAATGAGGTGGATCAACGTTGGCAGAGCGGGCACCAAAAGACGAGCCACGAGCCATAATGCTCGCTGAGCGAAAGATCCACAGTGTGTTGTGTGCTGTGCTGTGTGCTTTGCTGTGCTGTGTACAGCAGGTGTATATAAGGACGATGGAAGCAGCTCCAGTGGACTGCCACAGGCGCTGGCTCCTTCCCTCATCACCACAAGCACACGATGGCCTCACCTTCTACTCCTGAGAAGACGGAGTACGATGTCCACGACATCACGCTCGGCAATGGCTCCAGCGACAACGAGAGCCAGGACAAGCCGTACATCGATCTCACCGTGGAGGAGACTCCAGAGGAGCTCCAGAAGAGAGAACATTGGTGGTACAAGACCAAGGTGTTCATCTGGGACTCCTTCGACAAGCACCCGAAGGAGCGTAAGTTCCTCCTCAAGCTGGACTGGTTCTTGATGAGCTCCGCCTGTCTCGGCTACTTCATGAAGACGTTGAACCAGAGTAACGTTGGTACGGCCTACGTCAACGGGATGAAGGAGCACTACAACATGGAAGGTAACGATTACAACACCATGGTGACGCTGTGGACCGTGGGCTATATCATTGGACAGATCCCTTCCAACCTGATCTTGCACAGGATCTCAGCCAGGGTGTACCTTGCCGGGCTGGAGCTGATCTGGGCCATTCTGACTGTTCTTCTTATTGCGCCAAAGTCTCTGAAGGGGATGTACGCGTTGCGTTTCCTCATTGGGCTCACGGAGTCGGGTTACTTCCCTGGCTTGGAGTACCTGATTGGCTCGTGGTACTCGAAGAAGGAGCTCAGCAAGCGTGCCACCTTGTTTGGATGTTCTGGTACAGCTGCTGGTTTGGTTTCCGGTCCTCTTCAACAAAGAATTCTACAGAGTTCGTGGGCTCATCGCCATTTGCAGCCGTTCCAGTGGATGTTCGTCATTGATGCTGCCATCACCATCCCGGTGTGTGTGTACACGTTCTTTGTCGACCCTAACACGCCATCCACCACCACCGCGTTCTACTTCACAGAAGAGGACAAGCTCATCGCACTGGAAAGACGTCGTCGTATCGGTGCGCAGTTGAACACACGTGAGAAGTACACCTGGAAGCTGATCAAGACTTTCTTCAACACATGGCACATCTATGTGTTCCCGGTTTTGTTCTTGACGTTTAACAATGCCTACCAGCCAATGACGTCGCAAGCCTTCCAGCTGTGGATGAAGAGAACGCTGCTGTTGGACTCATACTACTATAACTACTACCCAACAATCATCTCTGGTGTGGGTATTGCCTTCGCAGTGATTGCAGCCTATCTCAACGATTGGTCAAAGTCCAAGCTAACACCGTACTTCCTGTACATCATGTACTTCTTTATCGTGTTCTCGTGTGCCATTTTGACAGCGTGGAACGTTCCTCGTGGACTCCACTGGTTTGCATACTTTGCCCTTGGTATCCCATTGTCATGGGGCCAGCCTATGATCTTCAGTTGGTTGAATGGTATGCTTGCTCACAACGATATGAAGAGAAACTTTGTTGTTGTCTGTACAAACACTCTGGCATATGTCACCGGTGCCTGGGTTCCAATGTTGACCTTCAACCAGAATGATGCACCTGAATTCGCAAAAGGTTTCCCATATACCCTGTTCTTAGGTGCCTTTGGGTTCGTGCTCACGGGACTGGTTCAATTTCTTGCCAGACGTGATAGAAAGCGTGAAGAGTCTGCTGTGGTTGTTGCCTCAGACGAGGAGTCTTTGGGCAAAGAACTACAACAGTTATAGCTGAGGTGTATTTGATTCTGAATTTGTTATTAAGATATTTATAGATCGTACAACTGTAGCTGTGTAAACACAAGCTGTAGAGCAATGTCCTGTTATTTCCAGCTCTGATTCTATGTACATGGGAAAGCTATGCTAAATTCTGAATACACGACGGCTCAATGCTGTCTGACGATATACTTGATGATCTCCTCGTAAATCCCCCAGGCAATGCCAGCACTGAATGCCTTTCTCGTCAGACGCAGCGAGAGCCCGTCAAACAGTCTAATTGCTCCTTCTTCTCTCACAATCTTCACACCAGCCTGCCAGAACCCCGTGAATTCCAATGGCTTCAGCTGCATTCTGGTCTTTATCGTATCAAACGGCCCTGTTATGGTGGTTGCAATGCTCGCAGCAGAAAACGCACTCAGCGAGTTGATCATCGCTGACTTGCTCACCGAGAGCGTGGTTCCAGTGTCCACATTGGGCAGCATCTTGGGCAGAACCATTTTGCACTGCTCGTAGAACAGTACGTACAGCCCAGCGTACGGAGCATCACGCATACAAGTGGCAGTGAAGCCCCTAAAGAAGCCCTTTACACCTTCAGTCTGGTGAATTGATCGGACGGCACCTAACAGGGAGTCGTACTGGTAGACGGTGCTCTCATACCGCACCTTTAGCACGGTTATGGGCATCGTGACGAACCCGACAAACCCTCTCGTGAGCCCACCAGTGACGAGGTTTTCGGCCATACTGAGCTTGGGAAGCGATGAGCTCGACCCGGACACATTGGTGGCACTGCTGTTATGGCTCTTCGCCAGCACGGATCTGAATGCGTGTAGGGACGTGAGGTAGAGTGCAGAGCCCACCGAGGTTCTCACAGCTGAGGGTAGCGTTCCTCTCCACAGCTCCTTGTAGCTGGACAATGTCCTCAAAGTGTCGGGGATAGACCCTGACGGTTGCTGCTGAAGCCTTGTCTTGACGAGGTCGAATGGTTGAAGAATCACCGCAGAGGTGAGTCCACCGGCAAAGCCTCCGATGAGGTGTGAAATGGGCTTCTCCGACATGGCTCTTGCAACGGTTTGCGTTGGTTATCTTTGAATATTCGGTGAATAAAATGTCTCGTGGATGTGAGTTCTATGTGAGTACGTGAAAAGTTTCTGTTTCGAGGCAGAAATACGCCTCGGGATTGGCTTAGAAGGGCATTGAATGGAAATTGGGGCCCAGGAAGGACAGTGAGCACAACCTGAGGCCAATGAATGTCTACAGCTCCATGTTTGGTGCTAGCAGCCCGAGACAGGGATCATTTATTGTGCGAGAGGAATTTGACAATGTCCTCTAGTTTTACGTGCACGAGAGTGGGGGTCTCAGTGAGGTGATCCAGCGTACAGGCAGAGACGACGATCTCCTTGTTGAGCATAGTGGAATAGATCGAAATGTCCTCATCGACTCTGCCAATGGCCAGAGTTGTGGAGGAGTCCCACAGTGGCTCAGTGCGTCGCTGGAAAGTGTCGTGGGCCTCGACTGTATCGTCACAGCGCAGCGTATTGACGTTGCTGAAGTTGTAGGATTTCAAGTCGCCGTTGAGTCCCACGCCCAGTAGCTTGGTGTAGCTTTCCTTCAGTGCCCAGTAGTGCGTGAATCTGTTCTTGGTCTGCTCGTCGTCCGCAAGTGCCTCGAGTGCTTCATACTCATCTGGATGGAATATGTCTCTAAAATGGGCCAGATAGCCTGTGCCAAACTTGTCAACGTCATTGCAGTTTGCCAGGTCGATGCCACACTGTGCTCTTGATACAACCATGCTGGTGTACCCCTGCTGGTTGCTCATGCTGAACTGGAAGCCGCAGCCTTCCAGCTGAGGCTTTCCATATTCGTTACTCGTGAACGATAACAAGTCCGGTGTGGTGTCGAGAAGAGCACAGCACACAAACCTCTGGAGAAGCTGGTTGGCGAGAGCTGTGCGTGCGTCTTGCGAGAACCTCTTGGAGATGACCCTCGTCTGCTGCTTAAACGGTAGCAGTCTTAGCGCAGTCTCGAACTGGATACGTGGTTAGCTCTATACAGTAGAACAGCTCATTGCGGGCGCACTCACCTTATAGTCGTCCTCCCATATCTCGCCAATCTCCACGTAGAACACCGTGAGCTGTGAGCTCGCCAGCAGTCTGCACTCGTCCACTACCTGGCGTCGATATGTCATCCAGCACAGTGCTCATAGCTTCTGGAAGGAGTAGCTGGTGGTGTTGTTAAGGCATAAAGAGAGATAGAGAGATTAGCCTAATGTTGTTCTCGGATTAGAACGCCGCACGTGACTGCCACCCACACTGCCCTCGGAATACCGTCCCCCGCGCTATCGGCTGCCCGAAGCCGCTCCTCCCGCCGGCTTCTTCCGAAGGGTAGCCAAACACAGCGAGCGTCCGCCAAATCCTCTCGCTGAGTTGATACCCACCCCCACCAGCAAGGGCCGATTCGTAGCGAACTTGCTACGCTGAACGTATAAAGAAGCCCTGCCTGGATCACCCACAACTCGTAGGCTCGCTTCATCATGTCCAGCACTCGTGAGGAATTGATTGCCAATGCGGTGAGCTTCCTTAAGGACGCACAAGTGTCGTCGTCTCCACTGGAGAAGAAGGTTGAGTTCCTGGAGAGCAAAGGCTTGACGAAGGAGGAGATTGAGGAGGCGATGAAGAGATCGCAGGAGAGCGTTGATCGCTCTCCGCCAGCACAGAGCTCCTCTGGCACGCAGAGCTCCTCAGGCTCAGAGCAAGGTGTGCAGTCGTATCACCAGCAGGCTCACAGTGCTCCACAGTACTACACGCCTGCGCCGCCACCTGTTCCGGAGAAGGACTGGAAGGACTACTTCATCATGGCAACAGCCACTGTGGGTGTTGGGTTTGCGCTGTACGAGATCACGAAGCGGTATCTCATTCCCAACGTGCTGCCGGACTCGAAGTCGAAGCTGGATAAGGACAAGGAGGCGATTGAAGAGGAGTTTCTGAGAATCGAGGCCACGCTGAAGGAGATTGCTGATACTCAGCAGCAGCTGAAGGAGGGCGAGGCGGAGAAGGCCAAGGCCATCGACGCCGTCATCGACTCCGTCCAGGACCTGGTGAACGACTCCAAGGAGAAGAACTCGAAGGTGGAGGACGAGGTGAAGTACCTCAAGTCAGAGATTGAGAACCTGAAGGCCTCTCTAGACCGTGCGCTAGATAAGCAGCAGTCGTCCATCGCCAATGAGGTTGCCAGCATCCAGCACGAGCTGAACTCCCTGCAACAGCTGATCAAGTCCAAGAACTCCCTGGCGAAGGAATTGGGCAGCAATGGTACCAAGGAGACGGCAACATCGCCAGTTCCACCGGCGTCGTCAATCCCTTCTGCCTCTGAGATCTTGAAACGGGCAAACCTCGCAACATCATCAGCTGTCAGCTCTCCTCAGCCACAGTCCTCGTCGCACATCTCGTCGAATCCTCAGATTCCCTCCTGGCAGAGATCAGCTGCTGTGAATACACCGGCAACGAGTGCCCTTTTATCTGAAGAGAGTCTTCCTGAGAGACCTGATAGTGTTGCTATGAACCACAAGTCATATTCGCAGTCAACTGCTCAACAGGAAATACCGTTATGGCAGCAAGCAGCCAGTGCTAATGCCGTTGCAACTGTCCATGCTGAACAGTCCTTGACTACAGCTTATGAACAGGAGGCGAGTGAAGAAACAGCTGAGAGTGGATCAGCCCAGTAATGCGCTTGAGCCTCTATCGTCATTACGAGTTCGCCTATAATTGCCATAGTCCATACATTATTAATTAATACAACCACTCATCTGAGATCCCTCATTCCACGTAGCTTCTCAACGGCCTTCTCGTGGCCTTGGGACGCTGCTCTTTGGTAAAACTTCCTGGCCATCTCCAAATCACGCTCACAGCCTAAACCAACCTCGTAGTAATATCCAAGAGCATACTCTGCCTTATCAAACCCGCTCTCGGCACTCTTGAAGGCCCATAGGAATGCTTCTCTATCGTTAGCCTCGAGCAAGCCCTTTGCACCGGTCAGATACCAGCCACTTAGTGCCATTTCTGCCTCTGCGTTCCCATTCTTAGCAGCTCTTGAGTACCAGCCTATACTCTTCTTAGGGTCGATGGTGCACCCCATCTTTCCGTACTCGTAGCACCAACCAAGCTTACACTGTGCTGGTGGATATACCAGACGTGCAGCCTCTTTGCAGTAGTACAAGGCCTTTTCGTCGTCCTGGAGCACTCCAATTCTGTCCAATTCTCTCAGAAACTCGATATCTGGATGAGACGGATTCTTCATAAAGGAGAAGTCTCTTGAGTAAACCTTGCAAAGTTCGAAAAGCGAATGTGGAGTATCAACATCAGCCTGTGCAGCAGCTCGTTGAAGCCATTCGACAGTCTTGGTTGCGGAGCGACGTACACCCAGGAGCCCATCAGCGTATATCAACGCCATCTTGAACATTGCCTGGTTACAGCCTGAGTCCGTGGCCCTTTTATAGTAATCCAATGCTCTTTCTTCATCTTGATGGGTTCCAATACCAAATTCACACGAGACTCCACATCGATAAAGAGATAGTGGATAGCCCAGAGATCCCGACTTGACGTACAGCACAAATGCCTTATCAAGGTTACGGTCCAAAAGATCTGGCTTTGGTACTGTTATGGTCGGTATATTTGAATATAACGATGCCAAAATGAACAACGCTTCAGCATTTTGACCTTCGTTGCATACCGTTTTCAAGGTCTTTATGGCGAGCTTTATAAATGCGTGTGTATTCTTCTTGATCTCTGAGTGATGAGGGTTTGATTTCATCAGTTCACCATTGAGAGTGTACTTTGAGACAAACTCCTTGTCAGATGCTAAGGCCAAAAGTAGTTTTACCCATTCAACCTGTAGTTGAGAGTCATTGGTTCCAGCTGGAGAGAGAGCTTTGAGCCTCATGTCATTGAACTTTTGCAATTGGCTGTCAGATACAGACACTTTCTCCAATTGAGCAGTGAGCTGAGCAATATTCTTCTCTGGGGATTTCTTTTCAATAGGAGGTTGTTGAGCTGGCCTTTGATTCTGGCTGGGTAGTTCCTCGTACCTCTGTGAGATTGGTGCATCTGTCTTTGCCGCATTTCTTGCTTGTTCTTGTTGCACTGGTAGTGGTTCTTGCGGTCTCTGGAGCTGCTCCAAAGAGCGAGTTGTGTCTCGTGGGATCGAGTGGTCAGTGGGATGTGAGCTGTGTAGTGGCACTTGTCCTGGTGCTTGTCCTGGTGCTTGTAGTGGCACTTGTCCTGGCACTTGCGCAGGTACTTGTCCTGGCACCGGCGCAGGTGCTCTATTGTACTGGGCTGGAGTACTCTGCTTGTAAGCTTCTCGCTGCTGCACTGACGGTTGCACTGACGGTGGCACTGACGGTGTCACTGGCTGTTGCACTGGCCGCTGCTTCTGATGCCCACCACTGCTCGAAGAGTATGTCTCCTTGGAATCACCACTCGAAACAGACAGCAGACTGTGCGAGCTCCCCATGCCGTGGTTCCCCAGAGACGGATAATCAGGCACCTCTGTGTGATGCTTCGAGTACTGCTGGACCTCTCTATCAACTTGTGTCTCGTCTCTGTTCTGAATCCTGTGTCCAATGGAATCTGTGCTGAGATTACTGACACTCTGAGGATTAACGAACCCGGGGTACGGTTGTACAGGGTAGGGCGCCATTGGCATGCCATTCTGAGGACTCTGTTGAGGATATGGAGCTCTCACGTGGTTACTGGATTGTCCATTATACACTCTCTGGCCCGATGAGGGAGCTTGTTGGTGAACTGGTTGCTGGTGCAATGGACGACTCTGCTGGTATGGCTGGTGGTTGTGCCGTGGTGCGCTTCGCCCATAGTGACCAGGAGGAGCGTTGTTGCCTTGCTGCGCATAGTAGCCAGGCTGTGCCTGGTGATTCATCTGGGCTCGTTGCTGAGAGTTCATCTCTGTGCGCTGCTGCTGCTGTCTTCTCACTACAACTCGGTCTAAAGAGAACTTATCGGCGTTGGAAAGTTTTGGAAGTGGGATTTTGGGTGAGACCTGCCGATTAGCACCAAAGCGTATGCGTCCAGCTATGTGTTTTTTTTT